GACCCGGGCACACTAGGCGATTGCAGCCGGCCGGCTCAAATAATTATCAAACATGTTTGAATCGGGCGAATCGGCCGGCCGACTCGAAAATCGACCGCGACTCACTGGACACACTACATGATTTTTCATGCGATGGAGCCGGCCGGCTCGGTCGGCCAGCTCGATCGCATGAAAAATTGCCTAGTGTGTCCACCCCTTAAGCCCCGGACACACTAGGCGATTTTCACCGAATGTACAATTCATCGGCCAATCAAACGGTGCCATTTTCAATCATGTGAATGTCAATCTAGGTGGCGCGAGCGTTTTAGTGTTGCAGCGGGAGAAAAATCGCCGAGGAATCGCGCTGAAAATCGCCTAGTGTGTCCACTCAGTCGCCCGACTCAATCGCCTGAAAAATCGCCTAGTGTGTGCGAAGCTTTACATGTGGTAATGTTACGGGTGCGACCTGATAGGTTGTAGGCAGGTAACGAGATAGGAAACATGTTGGCTTATTCCAGTAAACTACAAGAAATATGTTGCCCCACACTAGTAAACTATGGGAAACATGTTGTATATTGTATATATCAGGAGCTAATAATGACAAATAATAATAATTAGCTCCTGTATATATTAATATGTGCAGTAAAGCTATTCTTGTCGGTTCTTGCCATACTCTACCAGCACGGCACCAAAACTACATAAGCCACGCTGTCACTGTTGCACGACGTGTCCGGCTATACGTGTGTTTACACGGATTTATTATTATCAGATGGAGATTTGTATCGGTTCATGATATCCCAGTGCATTACAGGCAATATTGTATTTGTGGTGCTTCACATTTTCCGAAAGTTTAAAAAGCATATTTTTTTGAAGAAAAAAATACCTACAATGTCGCCGATTGTGAAAACTGTCACACCCACTAGAATACGAATCGCCATCTGACATCGCAATTCAAAAACTGATGAACGAACTGAACTGATATAACTAACGAAACTGATGACGATTGATAAAAACTATGGCGACGAACGGAATCGAAATGTAAAAAAAACGTCGACGCGGCGTCTCGGTTCACTGCAGAAGGACGACAGTCCGTCGGTGACCTTCACGACTCAGAAGGGCTTTGTCAAGGTCGCGGGGCTTCTCAGCTCGACAGCGCTCAACGTGAGCCTGGAGTTCCGCACGTACAGCGATGTCGGCCTGCTCTTCTACAACCAGCTAGCGGCCGACGGCAGCCTCAAGGTATCGGACGTTCCATTCCACTCTATTACTTTCCGTTCCATTCCGTTCCGATTCATTTTATTTTATTTTATTTCGTTCAATTCTGTTCGATTCTTTTCAATTCGGTTTCACTCTATTACATTCTATTCTATTCCATTTAATTTTATTGCATTCCATTCTGTTCGATTCTTTTCAATTCAGTTTTACTCTATTACAGATTACATTCTATTCTATTCCATTTAATTGAATTTCGTTCCATTCTATTCGATTTTTTTCAATTCGGTTTCACTCTATTACATTCCATTCTATTCCATTTAATTTTATTGCATTCCATTCTGTTCGATTCTTTTCAATTCGGTTTCACTCTATTACATTCCATTCTATTCCATTTAATTTTATTTCG